CCACACCACAGCTCCCTTGGGAGAGTGACGGGTCACTCTCATGTAACCCCGTTACACCTCTCGTCACCACAAAGTGATATCCATTGATATTTCTTAGAATAGCTGTCCTACATCTCGCTCTCAGTTTCGACATAAACGGTAGTCGACGAATTCACCTCCAGTCATACAACTTTGGAGACTTCATCGCCTTGCGATCTCTTACAAATCCAGTGCCAAGCAGCAACAAGCATTGATACGCATATCAAGATCTTGCTCATATGCGCCACCTAGAAACGAAGAGCCCTATTAAATTTAGAGCTAGATTTTATAGCTGAATTACCTTTAGCTCTTAACCATCAACTTGGTTTGCCGAGGGCGCCTCAAGCCAATCAATAAAGTTATGGACCTCTGGGCGAGTGCCCGACTGGCAGCCAACGTATTTGACGGAGGTGTAATCAGAATCCTGAAGAATCAACGGGCTTCGTCAAATACAAGCTTAATGAAAATAATCATGCGAGCGTCGACTACCCGTACTGGTCAATGTGTAACGTGGTGCTTGCTTTAATGCGGGAAGGCTTGCACTCGCCAGTGTAGCATGAATCACATCGGCAACTCCCATGAGTGTGAATTTCCACTTCAACAAGTTTGCTTCGGCGTCCCTGAGGCTTTTAATTCGACACGCTGTTTGTCATCCCTTCGCCTAGGTGAGCAATAAAGACCAGCGGTACAACGCGCTTTTCATATACGAGTGAAATTCAGTGAGTCAGCCGGCTTATGGCGTGGCTATCGCCGAAACTAGCATGGACTGAAGGTGCACGCTTCGGCGTTGACGCTGCGCATTTAATTTCGCAAAGCCAAGCAGTAAGCTACCTTTCAATTAAACGACTGTTGGTTGGAACTCGATTATTGTATCGGGGCTACACGTGCCCTGGTAAGAGGTGTGTGTGTCACACGAGATGTGCATGGTGTGACTGCACCCAAACAAGACTACCGTATGTGGCTAGGTAGCGAGTAGTTATGCATGTATTTAGATTTTACTAAACATATTAAGTATATCTAGGAAAATCTAAACTTTTAAAATTAGGATAAAAATAATAAAAATCAGTTTTGGATTTTAAAACGAAGAGTCAATTAGCCTTGGGAAGGCAATGATTACTCTTGGAGTAAGCGGATTGCGATCCGCTAACTCGTACTTGCTCGAAGTATAGAGCGAAAGGTCGGTGACCTAAATTACGCTTCCTCAAGCGCTAAGCAACGGTAGCCTTGGTAGCACTTGGTGGTCAATCTACACCTGAGTCGTTTAAACCGATCTTCTGTGAGGATGGCTGAATATTTCTCTTTGCCCCAGGGCATGCACGACGAGCTTAACAAGCTGATGTCCTTGATTGGCCCTGAGAGCGTGCAACACCTTGTAGCGCAAGGTCCCGAGGCAATCGGTGCGCGTTTAGAGGCGTTTTCAAGTTACGAAAACGCGCAGCTAGAGA